CCGAGACCCGGCGCAAGCCAAAACTGAGCCGGGCTGCCTGCCCGGCTCCTAATACACTTTAAATGCAGAGCTGCAGTGGGAGTAGGTCCCTGGACTGAGGACTGAGCTGGGCTGCTGGCCAGCCTGCTAAAAAAAAGGAGAGGAGAGGACAGAATGTGTGTAGTCTAAAGCATTAACCGATGTCTTTGCGTATCGGTTAATCGACTACACCATTACATCCCTAATTTGAACTCCTCTTTCTGTGGTTTAGTGTCAGTAGATGCCTGGGTCCACTCAAGGGCGTCAGCTAGAGACACAATCTCAGCCAGGGGGTTCACATTTTTGTCCCACAGACCCTGCTTCACAGCATCTTTGCAGATGCAACGCGCCTGAGCCACAGCGTCAAGCGCTTCTTCAAAGCTTTCACCACCTTTCCCCCTCGCCCATTTCCCTGCCGACTCCCACCCCGCTCACCTCTTCCCGATTCCTCAGACCAGCAGCCCTCTGCAGATTTCTGCACGTCGCCCTCCATGTTTCAGGAGTGCTCTGAAATCGTTCCAAAGCTAGTTCTGTGACTGTACAGCACTTTAAAGCATCTCATTGAATGTATCTGGAGCTTTAAGCTGGGCTGAGATTCACCCAGCACTGCTATCAGAACCGCACTGTTTTCAGTAAAATATAAACCCGATTTGTTAACCACAGAGACAGATTTTCAGTGATGAAGTAGCAGGCGGCGGGATCATAGCTGGATACCTAAGAAATTAAAGTTGGCGCACAGTTGAAATTCTAACTTTTAAGAGACTAAGCAGGGTTTGAATCAGTCTCTCACCCGTACACGTGTTACAGCTGCTCACAGTTCGCAGGACACAGGCTGGATTCTCATTCAGTCACCCCAGTTCAGTCTTTGTCTTCTGGCTGCTGTTCCAGGTGTTGGGCAGGGGGAGGAGAGGCCATGTGGTGATGCTGTTGTCTGGGAAAATTTCCCACAGCTGCTAGGAAGATTCTTGCTGTGACTTGGGGGTTAGGTCGCCTTTCCTACGCCTGTGCCTCTCTGAGGAGTTTGTGCTGCCCGTTGGGAGAATGGCTTCCCCTCTTGGGGCCATGGACACGTGTCCAGCTGTTGCTGATGTAAATCTGCCTCACTAGGTGCCCCTTTGCTGCCCCTGACAGGCTGGCCGTGGCGTTCCCAACCTCCCCATGTAATTCACTAACACACATGTAAAAACTTTGTAACTTCCTGTACTTTGCTAGCGCATGCAGCTCTGTGGGATATTCATGTTCGATGGATCAAGACTCTTTCAGGGTATGTCTACACTACCCCACTAGTTCGAACTAGCGGGGTAATGTATGCATACCGAACTTGCTAATGAAGCCGGGGATTTGAATTTCCCGGGCTTCATTAGCATAAAGCCGGCTCCGCCATTTTTAAAAGCCGGCTAGTGCAAACCCCGTGCCGCGCGGCTACACGCGGCACCTTTGCAGCGGGTGGCCCGAGAGGGCTGGAGACCAGCATCCTCCCCGGGTTATCCTCCCCGCCCCCCATCCCATGAGTCAGAGGTGCCAGCTCAGCCCCACCCAGCACAGAGCAGAGTCAGCCCGTGATACACCACCCCACAAAGTAGCACCCTGACCCCCATATGCCCTATGTGAGATGATTCTGATGCGTCTGGTACAAGGGCTGCCTTTTTGGGAGGTATCACTGAGGGTATGTCTACACTACCCCGCTAGTTCGAACTAGCGGGGTAGTGTAGACATACCCTCAGTGATACCTCCCAAAAAGGCAGCCCTTGTACCAGACGCATCAGAATCATCTCACATAGGGCATATGGGGGTCAGGGTGCTACTTTGTGGGGTGGTGTATCACGGGCTGACTCTGCTCTGTGCTGGGTGGGGCTGAGCTGGCACCTCTGACTCATGGGATGGGGGGCGGGGAGGATAACCCGGGGAGGATGCTGGTCTCCAGCCCTCTCGGGCCACCCGCTGCAAAGGGTCGAGCCATGGAGAGCGGAGTCAGACTGCTCCCCATGTCTGCAGGCACTTGGGAGCATGTTGAGTGTGTTTGAGGGGAAGCTAAGCATGTGTCACCAGTGCTAAGACCAACCCCCAGAGCTGGAGGTACCCAATCCTTATGGCTACGTCTACACTGGCACCCTTTTCCGGAAATGCTTAAAACGGAACAGTTTTCCGTTATAAGTATTTCCGGAAAAAGCGCATCTACATTGGCAGGATGCTTTTCCGGAAAAGCACTTTTTCCGGAAAAGCGTCCGTGGCCAATGTAGACGCGCTTTTCCGGAAAAAAGCCCCGATCGTCATTTTCGCAATCGGGGCTTTTTTGCGGAAAAAACTACTGTGCTGTCTACACTGGCCCTTTTCCGGAACAGTTTTTCCGGAAAAGGACTTTTGCCCAAACGGGAGCAGCATAGTTTTTCCGGAAAAACACTGACAATTTTACAGTAGATCATCATTGCTTTTCTGGAAAAGCAAGCGGCCAGTGTAGACAGCTGGCAAGTTATTCCGAGTAAGTGGCCCAGTGTAGACACAGCCGATGTGGGGTGAAGTGCGAAAGTTCTGGGACAGTCCCTAGGAGCAAGATTCCCTCTAATCTACACAGCAACACGGCCCTACAGCTGCTTAATGAGCCCCACCCAAGGGCTCAGGGCTGCCACACGTGGAGCTCCTGGCTGGGGGAGGGGCACTTCTCCCTCAGCTACCCCTGGTCTACACTAAGGAGTCATTTCAAAATAGCCCCCCTTATTTCGACAAAACAAGCAGAGCCCGTTATTTCGGAATAACGGGCTGCTGATTTCAAAATCTGAACTCCTGCTTTCCTCGGGGAATAACGCTAATTTCAAAATAGCGTTCGTGTGGATGCTGTGCTGCTGCTATTTCAAAATGACTACTCCCCCGAGCTATTTGAAGTGATGACTCCCCAGTGCTTCCTGGGGCTCTAAGTCGAGGTAGCACGTCCACAATAACGGAGCCCTCCTCAGAGTAATTTTGAGGCTCCCCTGTCGTGGGGACAGGCTATTTCAATTTTGTTATTTCAGGAGTTATTTCTAGTATAGACGTGCCTCGACAGCAGTAGCTCCCCGCTGAGCGATGGGCTGGGAGAGACTGCTCCATGCACGCAGCCCGGAGCCCCTGGGCAGGGCTCATTAAGCAGCTACGGGGCCATACTACTGCGTAGCTTAGAGGGAACCTTGCCTAGGAGTCAGGAATGGCAGCTGCCCCGGGAGCTGAGGGTCTCCCATTGAATGGAGGGGCCTCAGGCTGCACATCCAGGGAACCTGGCTCCTTTGGGGTTTCCAGGCAGGGATTCCAGCGCCTTGGTCCCAGCGGCAGCCCAGGGGCCAAGTGGTGGAGACCAGCAGCCAGTTGCTGTCCCAACGGAGGCTGGCGGTTGGGGCCAGCTCTGGGTGAGCCAGCACCAGCGGCCTGTATCTCTCCCTCCAAGGCGCCTGTGGGCGGGGGTAGGGTTCACCTCTGTCCGGGCCTGGCTGGGCTCGGGTGGGTGAGTCGCAGCCACGCAGCTGCTCTGAGCACACCTGGCTGCCCACAACAAGGGCCCCCTGTGCCAGGTGCTGACAAGGCTCAGCTGGAGACTGTGCAGCTGAGCGCAGGGAGACCCGTGGAAGGGGGAGTGCAGAGGGGAATGAAGCTTGGGGAAAGGAGCAGGTGGCGGGGGGGGGCATGAGGAGTGGGTTTGAGGCCTCACTGTGG